TTTTGCGAAATACCTGTTATGTAATGGACATTATTTGGGGACAGCGTTAACAGCATATTAGCTCAACATTGGAATGAGTAGAGACTTCGAAATATATTTATTTTGTGTATTTGTATTCAGAATAATATTTTCCTAATAAGGGAACACGTACACTACATAAGAGACTGTAAACTATGTATAAAACGTAAAAGTAAAAAAGTAAAGCTATCCCTTTAACAGGCCCTGAAAGCCCATAGGGTTGTGAGACGTTGAGGCTCCCACATTATCTAGACAATCAGCTCAAAGATGGTGGCAAGGTTGTCAGCCTTACTCGCTTTACTCCACAGGAAAATTATTTAATTAATTCCTGGTACTCATTTCTGTTAGAGGCTGAGTCGACCCCAGGGCCATAGTGCAGCTGGAGGGATTAGATCAATCGAAAAAATCCAATGCCCTCATCGGGACTTGAACCCGCGACATTCCGGCTTGTAGCATAGTGCCTAAACCAACTACGCTACCGCGTGCCCCTATATAAAGTGTAACCTTCATAAATTGTAAATAATTATTTATGATACTAATATCATCATTAGCGCTTTAATATTGTTAAAAATAGCTAAGGAAATTAGAACCTATCTACTTTGTTCTGTTCCAAGGGAAAATATCACCCATATCCTATAAGGTAAATAAGAACTACATAGGTGGAGTGGCTTATACTAGGTTTTATGAAAATCCGTCATTTTATTGCGTGGGATATGGCATGTACAGAGAATGACAGAAACGTATATCAAATTGCGCGTGACCTGAGATACAATTAACTGTTGATCCGAGTTGAAACTTCCGCTGGGAATATTAGGCTTATTAACCGAGAGAATGCAAGTGGGAATTACAAACTTGTGGCAAGAACAGGTTTATAATGGAGAATTAACCTTGTCTGACACGCTGGGCCGTGATGCAAAACCTGTGGAACGCATGCCCAACAAGTGATGTCTTATGTAAGATTTGAGGCTTTCACGGCGGTGACTATGAAGAAAGCAGTCTTCTGGGATTTGGCACCGTGTATATGTGGTGTTAACCGACTGTCTGCACAGTCTGCTTTTACCGGTTCTCACGGTCTCTTCGCTTGCAGATTTCTTGCATTTTTTTTTCCACCCTGAAGATGGAGGCGATGCGTTCCTCCGAAACGTCGGTTAACACCACATATACACGGTGCCAAATCCCAGGAGACTGCTTTCTTCAAGTGATGTCTCGTCTTGTCTTGTTTTACAGCGTCTTCAGTATAATCGATTGTATGAAATCGAAATACAGGATGATTAGCGAACTCTACAGGATGTGAAAGGCGTCGGCAGAAGTCTAATTTAGGGTACTGTCCCTGTATTCGCCTGTGAAGTGGCTGAAGAATATCACGAGGAACCAGAATCAGGATAGGCGGTATTCTGACATAGATTCCAACCCGGAATCTCCCGAATGCGAAGCTGGCCACTTGAACCTTACCTTCTCCCCTTGTTTCGTCTTCTAGTCAGTATGCATTTTATCGTCAAAGGAGGCTCCTCTCTTTATATTCTTCCTTACTTACTTACTCATGGAGCTGAGCCCTTCTGGAGGAGCTGCCAATTCTGCAGCTACTAAAAAATTTTCCAGAATTGTATGGAACCCGAATGTTCATTACCGTGTTCACAAGAGCCCTCCACTGGTCCCTATCCTGAGCCAGATCTATCCAATCCATACCATCCAATCCTGTCTCTCTAAGATCCATTATAATATTGTCCACCCACCTACGTCTTGGTTTTCCCTGTGTTCTCTTTCCTTCTGGCTTTCCCACCAATGTCCTATACGCATTCTTTATATTCTTACACGCAGACAAATCCATTTGTTCCGGTAGAAGACAGTTTTTGAGCAGTACGAATTCCGTCTTAAGTGGATATCTTAACTCCTTTTGTAGTCTTTCCCACTCTGTACATTTACACGTATATTCTATGCGATTGTGAGGCCATAGCTTACTTAAGGTTTCGTCACTTTGGCCAGTTCTTTATGCAATCAAATGACTACTATGACGCCCCCAATAATAAAGTCCTGCAGTTCATTCGAAGTGTAGGATTAATAAGGGATTAATTAAATGTGAAGCACAAAAGATTACTGTTGTTCGTCACGATGCTAGGGCCGGATTGTGGCCCACCCCTCATACATATATAGATACATACATGCATACGTGTACATACATACACACATAAAGAGTGAACGGATGAAAGGTATCCAAAATAAAATCATTATATCTCAGAAGAAATTTATTATACACATTAATGGGTTACACCATTACAAATGGAAACTATTACAGTTTTCTCTGCGTATATAACTTTCTCAATAAATTTAAATGTGGGCTCCCTTGGTGGCACGACAAATATCCATACTTGAAGCATGGTTGGTGTTACCGTAGCTACAGCGTCCCTTATGCGGGCTTTCGGGGGTTGAAGATCGTTCATCTTAATCTGTAGACAATGTTCTTCACATAACCCCACAAGAAAAAATCCACTTAAGTTAAAACTGGCGACCTAGGAGGCCAAGCGATTGGTCCACCTCTGCTAATTCATATCCCAGCAATCTCTCTGTCCAGGTGATTCCTAACATGGTGACAAAAATGTGGCGGCGAATGCGCGTAAGTCTGGTATGAAAAAAAAAACTTTCAGAGTTTTCCTTTCCAATGACATAAACCGGATACGTGTATGACAGTTTCCGAGATATACATTTTTTATTTTGGATACCTTTCATCCGAACATTCTCTACATACCTACATACACGCACAGTTAGCCATTCGAAGTGGATGAAAGGGACATGTGTTTCTACAAACTCTGACAGCTGCATATTAATAAGTATCTGAAAAAAATGAATGGAAATAGAACAATTCTAAAAGTTATATTGACAATAGACGGACTGTGAGAAGCTTGAGAGTAAATACAAGTAGATAACGACTAGAGCGTCAAGAGAAGGCAATATAAATTCCGAACCGAACAAAAATGAATAATAGCAAGTAATTCAGAAAGTTTATATCGCTGTTATGAATTTGCCAGGTTCCTTTCACACTTTCAGGTGTCCCCACTGCGAAAAGTGTGTTCTGGGAGAATCTGTTATGGGTGTAAGCGGGAACTGTTTTTCTATCGCCAATTTCGTTTCGAAATTTTAGGCGGATTTAAAGCCTTTCATAAAATTAGAATCAATGTAGTTTTGGTAATCTTAAACATATCCCACAGTAAATCAAGGGAAAGTTTATCTTAAGGGAGCTGTGGTTAAATTACACCGCGACTCTGGGTTTGCCGTTTCATGTTCCTGCAGAGGAACTTAGTTCGGATTTCTCAACTGATGACGTGGAATCCGATTACGGTAGAAATGTCTCTGACGGCGTAGTCTGCAGGTTTCGTTTGGCGTTTCTCATTCATTCGCCTTGGATCCACAACGATCTGCTTTACTTAACAGAGATGAAGTTCTGTGCATTATTACGTGGCACAGTACCAAAATTTTGACCTTTACGGGGTCTAAAGCAAAATCAGGAGGATTAGTTTAGTAGATAGTAATTTACGTAAAAGCTCCTGACGTTTCAGAGACCATCTCTGTCCCTTACATCAGTCCCTGATGGTGGGGACAGAGATGGACGTGAAACGTCGGTAATTTTTAAACAACTGACAAAGTAAAACTGATTCGTGAAGATAAAATAATCCTGTATGACCTGAAGCTTTCGCGCCGAATAAATACTTTTAAATACTTTCGGGATATAGATGACTCTGAAACGTCGGTAATTTTTAAGCAACTGACAAAGTAAAACTGATTCCTGAAAATATAATAATCCTGTACGACCTGAAGCTTTCGCGCCGAATAAATATTTTTAAATACTTTCGGGATATAGATGACTCTGAAACGTCGGTAATTTTTAAGCAACTGACAAAGTAAAACTGATTCCTGAAAATAAAATCATCCTGTATGACCTGAAGCTTCCGCGCCGAATAAATTTTATTAAATATTCTCGGGATATAGATGGCTCTGAAACGTCGGTAATTTTTAAGCAACTGACAAAGTAAAACTGATTCCTGAAAATAAAATTATCCTGTATGACCTGAAGCTTTCGCGCCGAATAAATTTTTTTAAATATTCTCGGGATATAGATGGCTCTGAAACGTCGGTAATTTTTAAGCAACTGACAAAGTAAAATTATTCCTGAAAATAAAATAATCTCGTATGACCTGAAGCTTTCTCGCCGAATAAGTTTTATTAAATATTCTCAGGATATATATGGCTCTGAAACGTCGCTAATTTTTAAGCAACTGACAAAATTGATAGCCCGAAAATATTTAATAAAATATATCCTGCGCGAACTCGTCAGGTCATACAGCAGTGTTTCTCAACAGCCGGGCCGCGGCCCGGTACCGGCTCATCGTCTTATAAAGTAAGAGAGTTTACCGTGCTACGGTTTGACAGAGGTTGAGAACCACTGTCATACAGGATTATTTTGTTTTCAGGAATCACTTTTACTTCAAATATGGGCGTCTCTGCTTCATCTTCAATTGCTTTTTATAGCGTGCACTCCTGTTTCATAGCGAGAAATTGAAAGTATATTAATGCCGATAACTCATTACAAGTACTGAACACCAGCACAGGCACTGGGTATGTATATGTACTGAAAATGCTTGTGTTTCTTGTAAATGTACAAATATCGGAAAGGAAAAAGCAGTATGGAAATACGTTATGAAGATTGCGTACAGAGCGAGTCACAGTGTAGAAATCGACGCATGACCTCGTATGAAGAGCTTTAAAGTCTTAATTTGAAATACTTTATTTTTAGTGTATGTATAATGGAATTTAATCTCTCATTGCAGTGTATATTTGTTGGGTATGTAACAGTAAAAGTGTACCTGCTGTACATGTGTCCAGACTAGTCAGGTATGCATTTGAATACTGGAATAAAGTACCATGCACGCCTGCTTCTGTTGGAATTTATGGTACAGAAATGACAAATGCATATATGTTGGATGTTACAGGTGCATCTTATGTGGGGAGATCGAGTTCAAGCAGTAGCCAGCCAAGGGAGAAGCCTACCTGTTGACCTGTTGATTAGACAACCGGCTTAACGCGTAACATTCTCTCCTGTTAACTTACACATACGCCGGCCTACTTTATTTCGCAAAGATGAACGCTGAAGAAATAATCCAGGAAGTTCTACAGGGGCACCTTACGTCATCAAAATGGCCGACGCCGAGACTGGTGAAAATTTTCATAGCTTCTACGAGAACTGGTGAGTGGGACTGTATTACTGTGCTCATCTCTGTCCCTGTGTCCCAGCTTTCTTGACAGACTCAACATTTCTGCACGCGTGGGTGTATCTTGCTGAGGCTTGCAGCACGGTATCAAAGTTTTGTTTTATATTTGGAAGGAAATTATATATTCATCTTTGTTGATGATGGAACTGATTAGCTCAAATTGTAAGAGGTATCATGACATGTTTTCTTTCCCACTTGTATATAGGTAGAGAAGGAAATTGTTTCAAAATGATATGGGGCCTGCCTCTTTCCTATCATGGAAAATGTTAATTAATTATGCACACCCACAACGAGTTACATTACCTCGAAAGTAAGCATGGTCCGTGACATTAATTTCAAACATCATTGAAACATGGATTCTATGTGAAATACAAAGATACAGCTTTGTAACGAATACGGTAACAGAACGCTTAACCGGTAATAAAGACTTTCAGCTAATTAAGAGCTCTCGAAAAAGAGAAACAAATAAATATAGCAAATCTATATTCTAACAGAAAGAACACTTTTACATTTCAGCCCTGATATTCTTGTGAATGGAATACTTTAATTAATAATATACCCAATTATTCCAAGCTGGGATATTACGAAACATAAGTCTACTTCAGTAACGCCTTTAAACACACAATGTAAATTTAGATACTATAGGGTTCTGACGATGGTGTATAACACACAGAGATATTGGGTTTTCGGACTGTAATGGCACAAGGGTTATGTACAAGTAGATATAGTTTTTTTGGGGTAAATTTGGAATAAGTTTATCTAGACTCTAAGATTAAGAAACAGAAATAATGAAACGTACCAGGAAGCTTGGGTTTACAAAGAAGTGTAACAGGCTATAGCTTAGTAATCAGAATGCTAGCATGACAGGTAATAACGCTGACATTGAGGAAGAAGCTATATGAAGTAGGTCATAAACACTATGGCATGAGGAAGACGCTGAGTCGGAGAAGACGGTAGACCTGAAAGAGCCAACCCCTTTTCGATAAACAGCCAATGAGTGGGCCACACCGACCCAAAATCACGTCAGAATGGGCGGGCCAATACACCCCGGAACCCAACGAGTCAGCAAAAACAGGGTACATAAACCCTAGAGGAATCAATCAAAAAACTTTTGACTTTTGACTTTTTAATATTATTAATTGACATAGAGTTCAGCCGGAGGCTATCGCCGAGAGAGTGATGGCAATGAGTAGGAGTTGGTTGGTGATGGCGAGCGTCTGTTTCCTCAGCTCAAGTAAGTGAACCAACTTCATATAGCCATGAACATTAAGTGTGATAGTATTAAAGTGCAAACCCCAGGGAGAGAAAGTGAAAACTAGGTGGACTAGGTTTACAAAGAGAGACAGAGGCGTAGAATACCCAACAGCAGGGTGACAGGAGATAGAACTAATGTGCGTGCTACAGGGTCATAACCAAATGTAATGCGAACCGACGAACGTCGGCAAAGTGTGTATATATGATGTATATAGCGACATAGGTGAATAGAGCAGGCTAGAAACGCGCTGTGATATTAATTAAACCTATCATTCCCTCAAGTGTTACCCTCTTCCCTGACGACTCCAGCACCTCCCGAAACTCCGTGGCGAATTGCGAGTTAAAGCCAGGACCAGTGACGTAAGCGATCGATAAGTTTACTGGAGTTTTCTTGACATAACAAGATGGTGGCAGCATACTAAACCTGGTGACAGCGCGGGACANAATAAAAAAATACCCTCTCGAGGGCAGTGTTTGGCAGATCGGTTGGCTAAGATGTGCTGTTGGATTTGGGGCGATATTTTTAACGAATGGAAGTTTAACGGGAATAAACACTCCTGCACTGAAATAACTAATGTGATAAGAAGTACTATAATGAACATCTGTTGGTGATTAATTATGTTATGGATTGAATGATTTAGTAGAATTATAACGGGTGACAAGTTCGATTATAAGCAACTTGTAACATGGCTATCTCTTTCTGCTCGACATATTACCAGTGCCTTCCTGTTCGAGAAGTTTTTCTTTTCCAGGAAGGTACTAATACTATACTGAAACTTATTCTTACGTAAAACATTTGGCAGATAAACTTATTATAGATATTGAGAGATGTCTGATTACATAAACTTCTAACTTTAGAAACTCACAAATTAAAATAGAACTATTTTATAAATATATTAAAATTACGTTATTATAAAACACGATATTTTTCTACAAAGTTAGTTAATGCAGACCAGCAAAAAAAGAAAAACAAAGTGTTTCTTGACTGTGAATATTTTATATACAAATGTCTGTTGTAGGTACGGAGTTCTGGGCCTATTTTTAAGTATTATGACTTTGAGATGAGGTTCTTAATTTCGTTTAAGAAAAAGTGGAAAATAATAATATGACGCAGCTTTGCGTACCAGCTTTAACTGTAAGCATGTTTAGGGAGCTTCTTGTTTGTTATTTCTCGCATCAACATTATTTGAAAATGGAAATTGTTTGAAAATATACTTATGTTTTTCATCTAATATTACTGAGGTGATCAAATCAAGGTGATGAAAGCGGGAAGGCATATAGCATTCAAGGCACAGATAACATAAAGTTTCAAAGGATGGGACCACTTGGGGGACTTACGTACATTCTGGAGGACAATTTGGAGATGAAATTTAGAGAGATATGGTATGAAGTGAAGACTAGAATAAACCAGCTTAGGATAAGAACAGTAAGGAAATTTTTAGAGATTTCAGTAATTTTTGTTGTTGTAGTAATAAAGCGGTGACTTTCTTGAATAACTGAGTACCTTTAAACGTTTCCAGAAGAACGTTAGCTCATACAGTTAAGTGTAAGGGTCTGAAACACGGCAAGATGATCCGTGGAACGCGACATAGCTGAATCGGTATAACATCGGGAGCGGAAAGACTTGGACTGCCAAACACGTCCTTTTGAAAATTAAATCCCAGATATGCAGCTCATGTCACATGCATATCTAGTCCCATGGAGCAGGCTCTTTCATTTGAAGTTAAGAGTTTTCATACAATCAAGAAAATCCGATGCTGTACAAAACCCGAAGGCGCCTAACGATCATAATAATTAGTAAATGCTCCCTATCCCAAGCTACACCCTCATTTCCTCTTCCTTAATGGTTCATTTGAATATTATTCTTCCAGCTACCGTTATGTCCACAATTATATTTAAAATATTGTGACATGACACCCGAAAACCGGAATAGTGAAGTCAGAATAGATTATCATTACTAGGAAACGACTCGGTAAACACATTCCCGTGGCAACTAATACGCAAACAACATTCGAGTAACGTACGTTGCTAAGCGGCCTCCGTAATCTAGGGGTAACGTTTCCACCTCAGGACTCGTGGTACGCGGGTTCAAACCCGGCGGAGGTCGTCGAATTTTTTAAGGGCGGAAAAATTCAGCGAACAAGTCTTCCGGGAGGGACTTTAAGCCGTTGGTCCCGTGTCGTAGCTTTACGGCACTTAAAAAGCCTCCTATCTCCAAAGGAGGTCACTGAGCCAAATTCAAGGACGTTTCCCGCCCAACAGTAGTCTCTAAGGCCTCTGATAGATGGGGGAAGCATTATACTCGTAGATACCGCCAAGCCAGTTGAGAACTCGCTGGCTCGGTCGGGACTGATGGTACGCACCAATATCGGTAGGGTATAGAGACTGGTAGAATATCATAGAGGGAAGCACAATGGACCAATACTGGTCTAAGTGCATGGGGAAACCCACCCTCTCCAATAACTAACTAACTAACTAATTAACTTACGTTGCAATGCAACTGCTCTGTAAACACCCCTTCCCAACACGGGAGGCTATGTTTTCTGTGTGGTCCATATACAGTGATTACAAAGAAGATTTCAGTTGAGAAGAATTGTTTTTCGAGACGCCAAGATCTGCCAGGATATGAGCTTGCAAGGAGAAGAATTGAACTGAGTCCAGTTTTCGGAATTGTCTTATGCAGAATAATGGAAAGAAATGAATTAGGCTGTGAAAAGGAAACTTTATGTGTGGTTTGAAGTGACAGCGAGAATGTTAAAATCCGTTGCCAGGATACGACTGACGAAGACTGAGAGCGCTAGTGCGTATGTGAAAGGGTGAAATCTAAAGTGTGTAGATCGGCGATAGCGCTGTTTTGTCTGTAGTTCCGGGTTGTGTGTATAAGGTGTCAATAAATCCGATCGTCTTATCCAGAACCCTACACGCATATCCCTTCAAGTGACAAATATGTTTCCTTTTGAATATATACTTCACTAAGTACAAGAAAAGCCGGTCACGGTAGCCGAGCGGTCTAAGGCATGCACTGTCTTCGCTCGCTCGGAAGCCGGGATCGTGGGTTCGAATCCCACTCATGGCATGGATGTTTGTGTGCGTTTTTCTGTGTTTGTCTACAGGTAGAGGCCTTGCGACGAGCTGATCACTCGCCCAAGGAGTCCTACCGTATGTCTAAGATCTAGTAAACCGAAGTGAAACGGAGAGTTTCATGGAGGTAGGCCTAGGCCCAAATTGGGGCTGTAGCGCCACAGAAAAAAGTACAAGAAAAAGTATTATATGTCCCATTGTTATGTCTGTAAGCTATGTGTTATGTTAGTTAATAAGGTAATTTATGATTCTGTGCATTTAACTCTTCAGAAAATAATCATTAGAACAAATGGACAAAAATGCTATTATGCATCTTAAGAGAAACCATTGGTATGTTTCCTCCTTGTTCGGGTTAATGTGGTTATCTCCTCAAACGGGTCCATTTGTATACTGTTTTATAATTCATTATTGAAATAATTTTTCCGTAAGGAAAGAAACAAGTTCCCATTGACTTTTTGGGACTCAAACTAATCTTTTGGAACACTTGTACAGAAACCCACGCCCGATGACCATGGCGTTACTTACACCTCCTGCTAGTTTTTTCCTTAGCACTACAGCCTCAGTGGGCCTAGGCCTACCTCCATGAACTTCTCCATTCACTCCTGCGAGTATAAGGACACTAATTAAGATAGAACACAAC